TATGGCTGGTGAGAGCCTGATGGGAGTAGGTTCAAGAGAAAATGGCAATGAGGGATTGAAGACAGATGATAGACAACCCTTGAATGAATATGGCTATGAAGACCAAGACAGAGAAAAGGTCATGGTGGGGAAAGTGGGACTGAGCATCTTGTTTGTAATGATGAAACCTCTTTTTTTTTTTTTTTTGGTGGGACTGAGTTTGAACCCTGTGCTTTGTGCTTGAAATGTAGGTGCTCTAACACTTGAGCTGCACCTCCGGTGCATTTACTATGGTTATTTTAGAGATAGGGTTTCATGAACTACTTGCCTGGGTTGGCCCCAAACCATGATCCTTCTGATTTTAGCCTCCCAAGTAGCTGGGATTGCAGGTGTGAGCCACTGTGCTCAGCTAAGAGCAGATCCCTTTAGCACTCATGTTTAGGGACACTTGTGGATGACATGGCCTGAGAATAAGTATGTCAGGAATAGCTTTGGTAGCTTGAGGAGATGCATGAATATTAGCAATTGTTGCAGAAGGAAATGAGAAAGGGAGTTGACTGAGAAATTTTGAAAGTTGACTTGAAATTTTGAAAGAAAAATTAGTAGAGTAACATATTTCACTATCTTTCTCTAAATTGATAATTTCATTCAAGAAATTTCACTCATGAAATTCTCTGATGGCTAGCTGGGTGCTGGCAGCTGACACCTGTGATCCTAGCTATGTGGGAGGCTGAGATTCAGATAATGGTGGTTCATTTGGGCAAGTAATTCTCAAGGCCACATCTCAAAAGGATAGCTGGGCACATGACATGCACCTGTCATCCCAAGCTATATGGGAGGCTGAGATGGGCGGATTGCATTTCCAGGCCAACCCTGGGAAAAAAGTTCACAGAAACCCCATCTCAGTGGAAAAAAGCTGGGTGTGCTGGGACACTCCTGTCTACCCAGGGATGGTGAGCAGCTTAAAAAAGGAGATTTCAGTCCCAGCTGGCCTGGGCAAAAAGTGAGACTCTATCTCCAAAATAACCAGAGAGAAAAGGGTTGGAGGTATGACTCAAGTGGTAGAGCACCTGCCTGTAAATATCAAACCCTGATTTCAAACATCAGTACTGCTAAAAAAAAAATTCTCAGATGGGAATTTAGAAGATTCATATAATGGCTTGAACACAATCATCTCTTAATGGAACTTATATTTCCATGGCTATTTGGGCTTCTTTTGGCATTCTGGATATTGCATATTTTACATCCTATCCATAAAAATGGAAATTGTCTTTTAAAATCTATAACCAAAATTCTAATTGTCAGCATTATTCTATTGCTATAGAAGATACAGAAAAGTCTTAAGATGAGGTTATGTGAAATAAAGGAGAAATTTTGAACAATAAATACTAGAAGCCCAGCTCTGGTGGCTCACACCTATTATCTTAGCTATTTGGGAGGCCTAGATCATGGTCTAGGCTGGCCTGGGCAATAAGCAAGACCCTGTCTTCAAAATACCAGAGCAAATATAGGCTGGAAGTGTGGCTTAACCTGCTTAGCAGGCAAGAAGCCCTGAGTTCCAACTCCAGTACTTCCAAAATCTTAGAAGATTGGAATGTAGTAATATAGACTTATATTTCTGTAGTTCTCTATAATTTATAGGGCCACCATGCATATAATCTTTATACTGTAATAGCCCTGTGTTGTAGGGGCTATCCCCACACCAAGTGAAGTTCAGATATGTTAGGTGGATTCTGTGTCACAGAAGTAACAATGGACAAAGCTCTAATATAACTCAAGTTTTTTAGGAATATAAGATGTCACTTGATGTTTTTTGAAATTTGTGAATCATACATTCTACTTGAGCATATTCATCTTTCAAAATATTCATGGACATTGATGGGTCAATGACAGTGAACTGTGATGAATGAAGAAAGTACTTTTTTAAAAAAAACCTGAAAGAAATGTTGAGGCTATTGCCTGTTACTAGCACTACTTTCCTGTGAGTGGTCTCTTTTTACTATTTGCATTTTATGCCATGAGTCATGAGTATAAAAGCATAATGCAGCATGTACAGCTATAGTGTCAGTAACAAATTAAAAATACAAACATGTAGTGAATCACAAACTGTTAGAAAAGTATGGGACCAGGAAATTTGTAAGATCTTGCTGACTAAGCAAGTGATGCTATACAGAATGTTGTGTTTTCACAAATTTGAATGAGGCAAAAGAACTGGCATGTAATCTCTACTTCAACCATTGTTTCAATTTGCAGAAGGCACCATTTGACAATAACTACACTCTTAACAGTTGATTACTGCTACACATCTCCATCATTCTCTATTATTCACTTGTTTGAAAATAGGGACTAGAGGTTGCTGATACTGTGTCATACAATAATTACCCAATAAGCATTTGGAGGATGAAGGAATAAACTGTAAGTGGAATTTTCTTGAAAGGGTGGAAAAGTTCATGTTCATATATATATCATAGTCTGCATAGATTGTGTCCCCAATACACTTAGCAATATACGCCTCATAATTTCTTAAAATTCAGAAAAGCTCCTTAAAGTGTCATAACTTTTTCTTGCATGTTATAATCCACACCATTCTTCTAAATCCCAGGAGATCTCTCTCTCTCTCTGTCTCTCTGTCTCTCTCTCTCCCCTCACCTCTTTCTATCTTGACAATACATTAAGGTAGAGATTATTATTCCTATGTTATGGATGAGGAAACAAAGACAGAGGTTAAATAGTAATTGGTCTTCTTATAGATAAGGAACTTAATGTACATGTAAGATTGTGAACTCTAGAATTGTATTTCTAGAATGTACTTCATAGTGCCACTATGTATTAGTCTTGTGACCTTGGTGACATCATTTAATTCTTCTAATCCTAAATTTTACAGCTATAAAGTAGCGATAATGATTAAAAAAAATTACTTACTGCATCAGGTTGATGTGATGCAGTTCTCTGCTTCACCCACTCTAGAAAATGTTGACATCACTTTGAAGGAACACATAGTTATAATTCAGCTTTGAATTACTACATCAAAATACCTAAGTCAGCTAACCTATAAAGAGAAAGGTTTATTTAGCTCACATTTTGAGAAGGTGAAAGTCCAAGATTGGGCAGCTCTATTGATTTGGCCTCTAATAAGGGTGTCACATGTAGGCACATCAGGGCAGGAATGTGTGTTAAGAGCAAATAGTCATATCTTGAGCCAGACCACAGATTAAAAAAAAAGTAGAAGAGTTCCCAGAATTCCTTTTGAGAGCATTCCCACAATGACCTGAGGACCACCCACAAGGCCTCATCCCTTAAAAAAGTCTATAGCACCTCCCAATCCTACTACTACCACAGGAACCTAGCCTTTAACTTATATCAAAGTACTTCAAAATACTAGACTGGTAGTGTAGTATTTAGAGGCAAGTGATTACCCTAAGCCAGCAGCTCTCAAAATGTAGTCAGGGGACTCTTATGCCACCAAGACAATTTTAGCACCTTCCAGGTCAAAACTTTTATAATAATACATCACATCACTTGCCTTTCTAGTCTCATTCTCTCATAAGACTACACTGCAGCTTTTTCAAGGCCTGCAGGACATTTGACATTGCAACAGATTGAAGCAGAACAGGCATATTCCATTTGCCTACCATTAAGCCAGACATTAAAAAGATTTGCAAAAATTAAAAACCAGTACCATTTCTCTCATTAATTTTTTTTGTCATTTTAAAAAATAGAATTTTTTCTCATGAGAAATATGTAAACCTGTGATAAATTTGTTTCTTTGTCTTGCAGTGCTGGGGGACACTCTACCACTGAGCTACACTTCCAGCCTGAGTTTATTTATTTTTAAATAAATAGTGCTGAGTATCATAGCAGATTGACAGCACTCAAACTCCCAGCACTGTGGAGGCTGAGGCAGGAAGACTGCAAATTTAAGGCCAGGTGGGGATACATAGAGATTTCAAGATCAACATGAAAGGTACATAGTGAGACCTTGTATCAAAATACAAAACAAAACAAAAAACTCACAAGTAATTAAAATTTGAAAAAACATGCATTCAAATAAAAAAAGACGTTAAATTGTCCCTTACTTGCAAATGATATGATCATTTTTAGAGAAAACACTCAAGATGCCACAAAAAAACTGTTAGAACTAAAAGGAATATAGTAAAGTTGCAGGATCCAAAATCAATGCACAAAAATCAGTAGCATTTCTACATACCAACAAGGAACTATTGATGAGGAAACCCAGAGAAAGATGAAAGCTGGGAAAAGGATCAAAGAGGAGTAAAGCCCTTCCCCTTAGCCAGAGCCCCTGCATCCAGCTTCTTGCTAGAAACTGTGGAAGGCCTTCCTCCACAGCTGTGCTGACATGATAGATTGTAACCTTGAACAGCTAACTGCCACTTCTGCCTCTGCACTCCCTGCTTGCTTGCTTCAGCTTTTCTCAGTATAAAAAACCTCAACCACCCTGAGCTCGGGCATGTACCATTTGGGACATATCCAGGTGCTTGCCAGCTAGCATAATAAACTTTCCTTTCCTCCAACCACCTGGGTTTGAGTCTTATTCTCGCTGGTCATACTATCTGTAAAGTTTTCTGCAACACTTATTCTAAAAGAATCAATTTCTGATCCCCCTTTGAGCTGTGGTGTACATATATGTCCCATAGAAAACAACCCTGGGCCACCCATGTGTGTCTATCACTTAGGGAAGACCCCAAAGGACCTTTCCCTGGGCTTAAAACCTTCTGAGAAGAGAATCCATCCTTTAGTCTGTAGTTAGAAAGACCAACATGTTCTGTTGGTAAGTGTTGGATGAGTCGCCAGAAACCCAGTCACCATCTCCCCAAAGCCCTGGTGGTCTTTGTCGCTGGAAAGGGCCTATTTTGAGAAGGCTGGGAACATGGTTATCTGGCTGCGTTTTTCTGCCTTTGGAAGGTCACAGAGGAGAATCCCACCCTTCCTCCATGGAAAGGGAGGCAAGTCGGGCCCAACGTCTCTCCAGGAACTGGTGCCACATTCTCTTGATCACTTACTTTTATGAGCTCATGCCAAACGAGCAGCTCCAGTTTCTCAGCCCCTCGCTGAGCTCGATGATGTCCACCACGCCGTCGCCATTGTGATCCAGGCTTTCAGTCAGGATCTGGTAGAGGAAGGAGTCCTCTTCAGTCTGGCAGGCCGAGTCAGGCAGCGCGAAGTCCTGCAGCCAGCGCAGCATGGCCTAACCAATACAGAGGCACTTCTCTGCCTCTGCAGGAAGACCAAGCCAGAGAGCGCTGCCACCTGCCGCTGCCTCCACTACGAGCACACTGCGCAGTACAGAGGGTCCATGTCTAGGGCGCGCCTGCCAACAAACAGCCTAGCAGAGATATGCTGCGCAGGTCCGCTGTCTCAGCGGAACCTTTGAGCGCTGCCACGTGGAGCCCGGGCGGAAGTGCCCCGCAGGAGAACTTCCTCCCCCAAAAGCGGAAGTCGAGGCGCTGGAGGTGTGACAACCCAGAATGGTGCAGACGAACCGTCAATACAGGGAGGTTTGGGGAGGGTGGGCGCATAAGGGGCATCGAAAGACCTCTCTGGTTCTCTGGCACAAACTCAGTGCTTGAGCGAAGTGACCCTTGCCAGCCCCGAGGCCTGGAGAAGTGTGTGACTACCCCAAAGTCAGCGTCCAGGGGTGCCCCGCCCCAGGGAAGACCAGCACCTAGGGATCCAGACCGGGCTGAACAACTTTCCCCATCCCAGGTCTGAAGAGAGCAGGGAGGAACCTCTGTCCTTGTTCCTGTTCCCTGCAGGTGTCTCCAAAACTCATTTCCTTGTCCTCACCTCCTACTTCATTTTGCTTTGTTTTTAAACATTTTAATTAAAACATTATAGTGGTACAGAGGAGTTTATTGTGACATTCCATGTATGTGTACAATCTACCCTATTTGTACCATCCCCTCCATCATCTCCCACTTTCTTACCAAGCTGCAGATTCATTTCAGCCATCACCTATTGGCCCTTCTGAATTTCCATATCACAAAATCCAAAGGGCACTTTAAAAACCTTGATTTATTTAACCTTGGGCTTGTGTACATACTGCTGATCACACACTCCATCCTGAAACACCTCTTCCTTTGTCTTCTAGGATTTCAAATGCTTCCCACTCCTTCATCCCACTTAGACCTTTCTCTGCCTCCATTATGGATCTGATTTTCTACAGGTAAGACCTTGGAGAATTTAGTAGCCGCATTGATGGTTAATGTAGAAAGCTCGTTCTGTAATTTGTTGCTCTGAAGCTTTGCGTCTTCTGGTCTTGTCCTAGAACAACAGGCCCAGGTCTGTGTTTTTAAATGAGATATGTTTTATTGCAAAAATATTAAATCTTACACTATAAGCACTTATTTCTGAAAATAGCACTGTTGTATATATTTTATGATGTTACTTATTTCATGTATATTTTTTATACCAAATCTTTTACTAAATGCTGTTGATTTCCAAATAACTTTGAAACTGCTCTCATAAATCTAAGGTGTTGCAGGTTTGAAAACAAATGAAATGCAACTCAAGTTCTGTAATAAAAATATGACCAGGGATGGTGATGTCACTCAAATGGTAAAGTGCCTGCCTAGCAAGGTAAAGGCCCTGAGTTCAAACCCCAGTACCATGAAAAACAAAAAATGACCAAATGTCATAAAATGCATATTATTTCATTAAATAAGTTTAGAAATTAACAATAAAACAGAAAGCTATTAAGAAAACTTTTAAAAATGTAATTACTAGTCATAATTATAAAAAACCGTTTTAAAAAGATATCGACTATCAAAAGCAAATACATATTGTGCAGTCATAGCACATAGGAGTAAAATATATGACAATAATAAAAAGAATGGGAAGGGGAACATGGAAGCATGTGGTTAAAAGATCTTTGCAGTATATGTAAGGTAGTGTACATTTTAAAAATACATCATAGCTAGGTGTGATGGTAATTACCTTGTAATCCCAGCACTCTGGAAGATGAAGAGTAGGATTGAGAGTTGAAAGCCAGCCTGTGCTACATTGTAAGATCCTGTCTCTGAAAAGGAAAAAGCACAAAGTAACAAGTATGCAAAACTTCACTCACAAGACCAATCAAGTGACATTTGTTGAACACTACAGGCAGAAATAGCAGAATATTTAGTATTTTTTTCAGTTGCATATGTAAAAATCACTAAACATATACTGACACAAAATAAATCAGTAAATTTTAAATGATTGAGCTTATGCACATATTTTTCTCTGAGCATAATGAAATTAAATTAAAAATCAGTCACAAAAAGATACTGAGACATACCCAAATATGGGGAAACTAAATAAGTTTTGCATGTGTGGTACTGAGGATTGAGCCCAGGGCCTCCTGCTTGCTATACATGCACTCTATTTAGGACATGAACCCTAAATAACATAATTTTAAATGACACATAATTCAAAGATAAAATAACTGGAAAATATTTTTACCTTAATGATAATGAAAGCATACCAAAACATATAGGATGCAGAATTAATGCTATTGGTTTATTTATTTTTAGCCATCAATCTAGACATTTTATTAAGTTCTATGAAAAATATTAAGACAGTTGAAAATACACAAAATTTGTAAAACATACTCATCCCCAATAATCTTCTGTGGTTGCTCCACCCACGACATTGCAAAAGCTTTGCTTCCACAGTTTATCACATATGCATCTTAATTAACTGGAAATACACACCTTGTTCAAAGATCTTGAGTTGTATTATTGTATTCTTAGAATAAATTTTCCCCTTAAGCTTGAAAACAGTTGATACTGCTAATTCATGCTGGGTCTGATAACAGTATGTTATTTTACTGATGTGGTTAGATGTATGGATCCAACATGCTGGCAAGTGGAATTTTAAAACACACAGAATAAAACAGTTCCAATTCAGAGCTAAATAGTGTCTGTTAACCTAAATGTGTTATTATAACTGGTCTTAGGGGGTTTTACTGTTTCAGTGATGCTGAACAGCTCAGTATTAAATAACTTGGCCTTTCCCCTGGGCTGCCAATTCATAGACAATCAAGTCACTGTTCAGCAATTTGTAACCAGTTGCTCCCAAGAAACAGATTGAGTCCTACAATGATTTGCATTTCCAAAACTACCAAAAGATTCTGGCTTCCATAAGTACCTGCAAGAGGCACTCAGCCCTTATATAGGAAGGGAGAAAATTAAAGGCTTAAAATAATTTTGGCTATTGTCTGTGATGCTTTACATCTAAAAAGGTGTCTAGTGAAATTTGTCCTATTCATTTGTTTTAAAGTTTCAGAAGGTTGCAAACTTTCAAGCAAAATTGGAATATCCCTTTTATTTTCTCTCTCAAAATGTTAAGCTCTACTTTTCCAGTTTGGAGTTTCTCTGCAGGACTTGGCTTCAGTTTTAATAAGAAGGCTGTGTTGCTGTTTTGCTGTGTTGCCTTTGTTTACAACTTCACTTGTATTTCTCAAGTGGCATATTTTGTGTGCATGTCCACATGACATGTTGATTTGTGAAATTAAGCTAAACCCTACTATGTTTCTGTCATCTGAATAGGACTGGAGGCTGGAGGCATGGCTTAAGCTGAAGAAAGCCTACCTTGCAATCACAAAGCCCTGAGATCATACCCCAGTTCCACCCCCCAAAAAAGATAAATACATGTATTGGTAGATAGATAGGATGAGTCACTGTCATTTTTGTTTGATGAAATGAGAGACATTGTGACCACTGGCTTTAATTTAAATATTTCTATGGCATTTGCCTCCATGCTCAAATCCACACTGGTAGGGCTTAAACCACTCATGTAGGCATTAACAAATGGCATGTAGTTTCCAGATTGATGCATGCCAACACATGCATGATCCACTTAATGTGCATTTTTCTTAACTTTAGAAGGAGAATCAATTTTTACACCCAGTGTTCTTAATTACTTAAGAGTTGCATTAATGTCTGAAGACATGGCACAAGTAGTAGAATACTGCTTAACAAGTTCAAGGACCTGAGTTGAAATCCCAGTACTACCAAAAAAAAAAAAAAAAGAGTTGGATTAGAACACAATCTTTGGCTGGTGGAGTGGCTCAGTTGGTAGAACACCTTCCTAGCAAGCATGAGGCCCTGAGTTCAAAACCCAGTACTAAAAAAGAGAAAAGGACACAATCTTTGTCCAGCAGTCCTGAATTGGTGGTGGATGGGATTCTTTGTAGGTTAAATACCTTAGAGTCTGGTTCATTTATGACTGATAACTACTCCTTTGGTAGATGGCTGCCCAATTTCTTTGAAGGAGTTCCTTAGTAGGTGGTTCACTTGACTCAATAAATCCCAGAAAATTTTCCAGTTATGTGATGGTTGATGAAACAAGGATTCCATTTCTACTAAAATTTTGGTTCCCATGCTATTTCATTGTTGCCATTGGTACCCCCTGTTGTAAGTTCATATGCACACTCTGCCAGCAGGGCATTCAGAAAGAACACAAACATATAAGTTTCATTTCTAACCTTTGAAGAAGAGCTGTTGGATTCAGAAAGTAGCTGATTAAATTCTTCCAGACCAATGTTGTTTTTCTCAAAATTGGGACTATCAACTGCTTTTAATTTGCAAAATTTTTTTGGTGATACTGGGCTTCATGCTTACAAGGCAGGTGTTCTGCCATGTGAGCCATGCCCTCCACCCTTAACCAAATATATGTATTAGTTATATACATATAAATGTATGTATTGGTTATATGTGTGTGTGTGTGTGTGTGTATATACTTATATATATTTGGGGGAGAGGCACTGGGGTTTGAACTCAGAGTTTCACACTTGCTTTAACCACTTGGGGTACTTCTCCAGCCCACAGTCAGCTGCTTTTAATGTAGACACACTTCCTGGAGGACTTTTAATTTCATTATTAATGTCATATGAAAAATTAATGATCTCACTGGAAATCTTGGTGTCACCTTGCTTCATCTGAGATCAGGGTCTTAATCATCAAATGCTAGGTTCCAAAACAAGCTAGAACCTGTGCTCACAGCAATGCTTACATTTTTTCTCATGTACAAGCCAGAGGAATACTGTAGTTACATGAAATCCAGCTCCATTTGTCTTGTAGCTTACACCTTGTCTTCAATAATGGTTGTCTTAGGGTAACCAGGCTTCAGAGACTGTTCTTCTCATAAAAACCGAATCTGCACCTGAAGTAGTTTCAGCTCTCTGTCTTGCTCTGTGATTAACTGATATACATCTGGAATAATCCCATCATTTCATTTTCTAACCCAGTCTTGGATATGTGCATGGGCACTGCACAAGACTATGGTTTACATGAGTCCACATGTGAAGGTCCTGCCAT